TTATCCACCGGAGCGGAGACCCTAGTGCTCTTGCGGGGGGCTGTGTACCCCACACCCAGCACAGCATCAGGCCCAGAATGGATGCCCCATGGATATTTGTTGAAAGCAAAAATGGAGGGCAGACGGGATGGGACAGGGGTTTGATGTATTGTTAATTATCCCCATGTTCTGAGACATTTTACAGTTCACAGAAATGCAAACAAAAGTCAGCTATCACTATTGGCCTGAAGGTAACCCTGGGTTGGTGTTTCCCAAACTTTTCATAAGAATCACATGGGCTTTTTATTAAAAACAGATTTTTGGTCTCACCCCAAATCTACTGGATCATACTCTTGAAAGGGGAGGTCAGGAAACGGTATTTTAGCTGGTGATAAGGCCGGCCTGGCGATAGATCAGAATTTCACAGATCTCCCTGCCCACAGGAATCACCGAGGGTGCTTGTTGAAAACAATTCCCAGGCTCCACAGCTGATGACTCTGATTCAGAAGGACGAGGGTAGGAAGGGCTAGGATTCAAAAGGACTAGGAATTTGTGTCTATGACCAACATCCAGGTAAATCTTATGATTTGGCGGGAGTGGAAAACACTGCCCTGTCTGATTTCATTTACTCTCCTTCACCCAACCCTGATCTGTTCCCATGCTCTCAGTAAAGTTTTCAAGTCACAATATAAAAGCACGGCAATGAACCGACCTATCTGAGAATAACTTGCACAAACGATTGGAACTCACCCCATTCTGTGGGTTCTACCTGGAAATTGTATCCCAACCACCACCCTCACTGCCCTTCCAGCCTCCCCCTTAAGTGCACCACCTGGAACCCCTACGTTCGCCTTCTGGATGTTCTCCTCGCTTGCTTAAACCTTGGGTAATACAAACCAACCACAAAGCGCCTCCCCACTTCCTGTGACCAGCAGGACACATTTCAGCCTCTCACCTGACCTCCACATGCTCCTCTGTCTGGCTCACCTCTCCAACTTTGTAGTAAACACCCATCCCTGTGGTCCCTGCCACAGAGTCCCAGTTCAGGAATCCTGCCCCTGCCTGGCCTGGCCTCCGGAGCTGTCCCCTTTAGTTCTAGTTCCCCACGCCTGCCAAGAGTCTCCTTGTCCAGTCCAGCTCTGGCAGAAGGCTTCTTTGTCTAATCACCAAAGTCACTGAGCCTGTGTCCCTCACGCGGCCGTTCTCAAGCATGGTCCCTGGATCAGCAGCACCTGCGTCACCTGGGAACTTGTTAGAAATGCTAATTCTCAGGCCCTGCCCCAGTCCTACGATATCAGGATCTCTGGCAGAGAGGTCCCGCAATCTGTGTTTTAAGCAGCCTGGCAGGCGAAGGACCAGGGATGACAGCTAAGGCTCTCGGTTGTTGAGTTTCCACTCGTCCTTCTTCAGTGACAAAGGTGCCAGAAATTCACCAGAGAAGTCCATCATCTCTGAAATATCGCCTACGTCTTTCCTTGGACCAATGAGCGAGCACAATGTTGAAGCACAGGAGTAGCTACTACACAACAATCTGTTACCTAATTTCTTCTGAGAAAAGGTTGCGTGATATGATCCATTGTGTTTTGAGGGTTTAAGAGCTGTCCGTCCCTGGTTGTTACTCATCCCTGGTTGTTGGCGCCCCAGGAGGGGAAGGGGTCTCCAGGGGATGGTGGGCAGCGGACCCGGGACCAGTCTGGACGCAGGTATCCAGGGCTGCTGTGCTCAGGAGTGGACATTGCTGAGCAGTAAGAGGTGCAACCGGGGGTTAAGCTGGTTGTAGGAGGGCAGGATCAGGCTGGGAAGGTGCGCATCAGGGAGGGCCCACCCAGCCTCGGCCGGGGTTTGGCCAATGCCGGGCTAAGTTACCACAGCGACACCATGTGGCAACTAGAAGGCAAGGCAATTGCACTGCTGGGGCTCCCTAATCAGATCAAGAATTTACCCCTTTGGGGATGTATAAAGTTCTAGTGTAGCTCACTAGAGCCTACACTAGACAAAGCTCTAGTGTAGGGAGAGCCTCCGGGGGAAACAATGGACTGTCTACCACTAGGGCAGAGGTAACATAGAGCTCCAAGCCTCAGTTTCCTCATCCTTAGAGTGGAGGTCACGCCTGGGCAGAGGACAGTGGCGGGCAATGCTAACGTAGGCCTTCCTGTCTCCGTTCTTTCCTTGCCTCCAGCTCCAGCAGGAGCCACTGCAGGGCTTTCTGTGTTTTCTCTCTGGAGATTTTACATGTAGGAAACAGAAACTGTTTGAGGTCAAGGGCTCCTCCTGTCTTTTGTCCAAACCTATAACATATCCTTTGGAGAAAAACACTGGTTGTCTGATGAGGCAAAGGAAGGCGGCAAATGCATTTGAGAGCAATGAGGAGAGAGCAGGGAAAAGGTCTTAGAAAGTGGGCAATGTCTAACTGGGTCCTCGGGCTCGATGAGGCTGGATGTGCACAGAGGGGCTAAGGGCATAGCCACGGGGCTCCCGGCCTCACCGAAGGGTCCCACGTGCCAAGCGTGGCATGGAAGCAGCTCAGTCACAGGGCTGATGGGCAGTGCAGCCTGGACCAGGGGGAGTCTCAGTGGTGATGGGGTGGGAGCAGACAGATGATGACCTCAATATACCAGGTCAGGAGCGGGGCTCAACAAGAACTAACATGGCATTCCCGGCAGCCTGGCTGAGTAAGGGCGCGGAATCAGAAATGAATTGATTAAACGAAGAGAAATTTTTATTTTGTGCTTCTAGAGCACTGAGCATAATATCTGGTGCCCATCTGCAAAATGAACGTTAACTGCTGTTTTTACTGTTGTTGCAGATGGGAGGGTGGCCTGCCCCACTGAAGCTGCAGCAGAAGCCCCCGCTCACTCTCTCTCCCTCTAAACATCCTGATGACCACCCCCCACCCCCTCCCCCTATCCCCCGGGTGAACTCAGGACCCAGGAGATCCAGGGCCCAGTTAGTCAGCCCAGGCCCTGCCCAATAGACATTCTTAGGTTTATGGAGGAGGATTGTGTTTTTAATTGTGAACAGGAAGTTGCTTCTTTGGGCTTGCTTTTAGACAGCACCTCTTTTATGCTCAATTTGCATGTCAGTGACAGGCAGTTCTTCAAGGGAAAAATAATAATTGACTAAAGCTGAGTGAGGAACAAGACACAAAGGACCTCTGAGGGGCTGTTAGTCCTCAGTCTGGTTGTGACACAGGCCCAAATAATTTCCAAGCCTGTTAAGAGATCCCAGAGCCTCATAAAGATGTCCAGCCTTGTGACTTTCCTTGTGTAGAATTCCAGCAAAGATGAATCCATCCATTAATTTCATGGCCACTCGGCGCCAATCGAGACCAGTCATCTGGTCTTGTCAGAGCTAAATATTAAAACCTTTTGTCCAGTTACCCTGATAAAAAGTTTGTGAAAATGGAACGGAGGTCAAAGATGTTGTTCAAGGCATACTCTCTGATTCTGCCCCATCTGATCGCCAGTTCCCTAAGGAAATCAAATGTACACGCGAAGAGGTTCAAAGGGCCTCCTCTGGAAACCACACCCAGAAAATACAAGCCAGGCACAAAAATTCCTGCCACCAGGGGTCACTCTCACTTACCCATGACGGTCCACAGTGGGAAGCCAAAGCAACAAATGGTGCTTAAACTCTTAAGGTACAAAGCTCTTGCAAAGCGTTCATGACTCAGTCTCACTGTCTATTCTTTAGAACAGGGGCAGGGGAAGCCTATCATTCAATGTTTCATTTGAGTTCCTTGGAGCTCCTATTCGTTCGTACATTTAAGGTTTGTAATTACAGTCTCCCCGAAGCTGGGCTTCAACTGTTCTGGAGGGTTTTCCTAATCGGATCATGTGCTCATCCCACTGGCAGCTACTAAAGGCCTCCAGTGTCCCTGGCCCCGTGTCCTTTCTGGGGATTGAATGTTCATGACTGCTGGCCCTCTGCTGTGAAGGCCCCCAAAACTGTGGACGTCGCACACAGCGTGGGAGGAGTCTATAGGACTTCTCTCCACTCGCCAGGACCTGAATGCGGGTCGGCGAGGAGCCACGGACCGATCGGCCCTGCCTGCACTGGCCGCATTCCACGGAAGGAGCGGCCGCGCTGGTTTCTGGAATCCATCCACCCGCCACCCTGGGACTGAGGGCACCGGCCGCTTCGGTAACACTTCCGTGAACCCTCCGTCTCACCACCTGGTGCCTGCAGTGAAGGGGTTCGCAACAGGCCTCTCCAAGATGAGCCACTTTGGCATAAGGATTCTTTTGATCTAAAGGCCATCGAGCCCCTGCGGGCTCAAGAGAACCTTCTGCCCCCTCTCGCCCCACTTAACAACCTAGAAGAATTTAAATTAAGGGCTTTGCCGATAATAAGAGCTGTTATCAGAGATAACTTCGCATGCCCTATCTATACGGCAGGTAAACATATAATTACTGAATACCTGCCGGTGTCATCATCCTGCCAGGGCCTCCCTCCCCTCTAGCCCCAGGGCCCGTGCCCGATCCTTCGCCCAGGAGGCTGCGCAGACGGCATTTTTCCTGTCTGCCTCTGAACCTCCCCTGGATGTGGGGCCTCTGGCTCTCTCGTGTGTGGGGTTCCCGTCTGTACGTATGTAGTGAAATTTGGTTGACTGAATTAGACCAGCCGGAAGAACTAAGAAGGGTAGAGGAAAGTTTCTTCCTCCTCCACCACCAACTCCAACTTAGCCACAGTTTACATGCCCCTGAGAAGTCTCTTGGTACAGTCTGGATCTTTTTTACGTGAAGTTCTGACAATGAACAGGGACAACCTGGAGTGTTGCTGGAATGGAAGCCTCTAATGACTAATTCCATCTTTGGGCAGAAAAATATTAATTTTAAAACTAATTTTCCCATCAGGCAGGTCTGGGCTACCACAGAAAGGCCTATAAACCACTGCTTCGAACATCTCTCCACTGAAAAACACATCATGGCATTTAGAGCAGATTTTCCAAAGCAAACGCCGGGCGGGCAGTGAGCAGGCCACACCGCGGGCTGCGCCAGTCCTCTGAGCCCAGCTCCTACCTGGGCATGTGTCCACGGTCGGTGCTCCTGGGCTTCTCCTCCAGCTTCCTTTCTATATTCTGACCATTCCCAGGGGGCTGGAGTGCTCCGGGACTCTGAGCGGACGAAGTCCTCTGAGCAGAAGAAAGAGAATTGGAAAGGAAATCAAATAGGAGTCTCTGGAGACACAAAAGCATTGGTCAGGGGGCCTCTGACCACCACATTCCATCGCCAGATGGCTCATTTGCTTTGTCACCCAGCTGAGCGTCTACCACGCGCTGGTATGGAGCTACGCTTGGAGGACAAATGGCAAGCAAAGTGAACGTGACCCCCACTCTCATTTAACGGAGCAGGAACTCAGTTAAACAAGTAATTCTAGGTGGGAAGGATTATTGTTTTAGTAAGATACCAAGACGGGGGGCTCCTCTGTCCTTTGGGGGTCCTCAGCTCCCTGGAGAAAGTGGGGCTATCTAATCTAAGGTCTCAAGGTATCCAGTTTGTCTGGGTCACCACTTAGACGAAAGTACATGTTCCTCCCCCTACCTGCAACCATGGTCGTGTACACCCACAGTTCAGCGGGAAACCTGGGGCGACAATGAGGGGAGGAAGGGACGGGCCCTTGGAAACATACGGCCACCCGTTTGAGATCCTAACTACGCCAAGAGGTGGTCACCCCTTTTTTTTTTTTTAACTACCACAACAAGCTTGTCTGCTGCTTAGTTGATTTTTAAAACAAAGATGCAAAAAATTTAAAGCACAGTCAAGACTTCAAGTCACAGGACGGAAAGAGATGTTTGAAAACCTCAACTTAAACGATGTTCATTTAAGCATAATCTAAACATTAGCAATGAGGAAAGGGCCTTTATAAACCCTAAGAAGTGTTTTCCAAAGCAGGGGCTATCTTTTACTTTGTCTTCCGTGGGAGGGCACTGGCGCCTGCACCCCTCCCTGAAACAGCACACACCCATTTTGAAGGGACCGGATCTGCCTATTCTTTAGAGCTCCTCCACCCACACTCTCCGTCCCAGAGTTCCTCATGGAAATGCCAATCACGGCACCCTACACCCCTGCCCGTCAGGGTGTGCACAAGGCGCGGGTCAAGCCAGGCCCTCCCGGGACGCCCTGAAGAACCAGAGGGTAAGAACCTGGTGGTGGGTGCTGTAGTCCAAGAATGCAGAGAAACTGGCAGCCTGTTTCCAGCCATAGCAGGAAGACAGAGTGGTGCCAGCAGGTAGAGAAAAGCCCAGAGGAGGTGTATCCCCATCTGATATATTTTTCTGAGTGATTGGCGGCTTATGTTCATCCAACTGTGCCCAAAGGTAAAATATAGGAGATGCCCCAGTTCTCGGGGGTCCATACACCCCAGTGCTAACACGAACGCGATGCTGCAATTAGAAACGCTCCATCCGCTTTTGCTAGAACAGAGTGTGCTTACTGAGCACTTCCTAAGTGCCAGGCACTGCGCCGGCAGCTTGCCATAAACCGTGTCGTTGAGTCTTCACAGCAACCTTATGAGGAAGATGCTAGTCATGTCCCTCTTTAGGGCTGTGAGAGGTTAAGCGTTTGCCCAAGATCACATAGCAGCAGGGTTCGGATGGACCCATTTCTCTCTGACTCCAGAGCCAGGAAAGGGTGCCTGTGTTCGACCCCTTCAATGGGAGGGTGTTGGGGGAGCGAGGAGGGCCAGGGCCGAAGCCTCACCTAAAAGGGGTGCTGGCGACCTAGGCTGGCCTGACCTCCCTGCTGGCTGAACCACTCCCTGTAATGACAGCCCCTGCCATGTCCCCAGGGCCTCGGTCTCCTGGTCTGTGTGCAGGATGACAGTCCTCCCTATAGGGTAGCATCAAGATGGTATAAACTTTATTTTTTTAAAAAAAAAATTGTTATTTATTTTTAGAGAGCTAGGAAGGGAGGGAGAAAGAGAGGGAGAGAAACATCAGTGTGTGAGAGCTATATTGAAGGGTTGCCTCTCACACTCCCCGAGCCAGGGACGTGGCCCACAGCCCAGGCATGTGCCATGGCGGGAATCAAACCGGCAACCTTTTGGTTTATAGGCCGGTGCTCCATCCACTGAGCCACACCAGCCAGTGCAAGATGGCACAAACTTAAATCACCATAAGTTCAAACTCCAAAGTATTCCTGACTCTTGTGCTGAAGGTTCTTTATCTATATTATTCATTTGGATGCATGATTTAAAATGTTTCCTATGATAACTCAAGAATCACAACACAGAGCGAGTGGTGTTTTCACACCAGGGCCCTGCATTTTTCAAATTGTGACCAGCTTCCTGCTTGTCTCACGCAGGCCTCGGCTCGAAGCGCCTTCTGCAGCCAGGCTCCCCTTTCCATCACCATGTTATCTGCAGCGAATTATTCTGCAAATAGTTTAACAGATAAATCTCCTGCCCTTTATTCCATGATCAAGGTTACTTGAAAGTAATTCTGAAAAGACACTGACATATCTCACAGCCAGACAGATGCAAACAACAGATGGAATAGGAGACAGATCTTTGCTCTGACTAAAGAGGGGGAAAGGGACCACATGCCAAACTTCCTCAGTCAAAGGAAATGGGACTTGTGCTCAGATTTGTCTTTGAAGAAGAAAAAGGGTAGGCCTTTCTCCCTTTTCAGCCCCGCCCATCCTCTGAATAGAAAGCTAATCTGCCAGAATAGCAGCTCCCTCCAACACAAACAGATCCGGACGAGTTAGACGAAAGCAATACTGTTATCCATAGGAGTGGCACATCGCACTTTTCAAAGTTGAATACAAAATCACTGTGAGCGAAACAGGTGGTAAACTGATGGTTTCCATTTTCCAGCTGGGAAACAGAGGGTGAGGTAGCTTGGCCAGGTCTTCTGCCTTGAAGTCTAGTGCTCTTTCCACAATAACAGAAACGCCCAACACCTACATAGCACTGTTTTTGCTATAACCATAATAGCGAACTTATGACTACAAACAGTTTCTGTGGGCTAAGTACTCTTCTTTTCAGTGCTTTCCATGTTTGAACTCATTCAGTCCTTACAACCCTATTTTTACAGACAAGATCGCTTAGCACAGAGAGGTTAAGCCACTTGCCCAAGGTCACACAGCTTGGAAGTGGTGGAACCAGGACTTGAACCCAGATGGTTTGGGCCTGGAGCCTGTGCGCTTGACCCCTACCTTACGCTGCCTCACCAGACCGTGGAAATAGCTGCCTCTGGTCCCTGCCACTCTCCTGCCATGCTCCATGTAACTAAAACAACCGGATATTTATGAATAATGTGGTACAAGGGCCCAGAGTCAATGCCCAGAATAGCACCTGGCACAGAGAGGCACTTCATAAACATCGTTGAAAGTATGAAAAATAGAGCATTCCTCTTTCGCCTGGTAGCCATTCTGCAAATCGGGAGAAGCACGCTCGCCCCTTGGAGCCCTCGCTTCTGCCACGTTTGCTAGTGCCTTTGCCTCCCCCCATCCAGTTGCCCCATCCTAGCAACAGTACTAAGCGCTGTTGCTAAGAGTATTCCACGGGGTCTGTTGTGTCAACAGGCATCACTGCAAAACAGCATGCGTTTCAAAAGTGTCCCCTTACACTCCCAAACAACAGGCCGGGGAGAAACTTGGCAACCCTCCACATGACAAGCTGCCTTGTCAAGATGCATCTTCAAATCTTTCCTTGGCGGCCCCCGCTTGAGTAAACAAACAGCCTTGCTTTGGCTCGGGAGCGCTCCAAGCCCTGCGTCTATCGTCTATCGTAAAGCAACCTTCCAACCGTCACAGCGACTTTCCGTTCCTGAAAAATACGCTTCCCCAAGAGCTGAAGTACTTCACTGTTTAAAAAAAATTCCCTGACCTTACCTCTTAAATGTGTGTCATCTCTCTAGACCAAGGCTCTTGGGTCACGCTAACCAAGAGGCTCTGTTGACGTGGTTAGATCACGACCGCAGCGTCTTGCCAACTCGCCCAGTCTTTGAACGAGCTTCTTGGGAGCAGTGTGATGGCAGGTGAATGCTGGGAAGTGGACCAAAGGTCATCCCCATGGCGTTAGGAATCGGATTTCAGAAGCAACTGCCAGGCCCCCAAATATGGAGGAGGAACACATGCTCTGTGCGGGCGCCCATCTCCCCATCCCGGGAGGGCAAAGGTGCAGACCAGTTCTGCTCGATTGTCCCAGACATTTCTTCACCTCCAAGATGAAAACAAAAGATGCAACCAGCTCGCCCACAGTGGCAGCTGGGGACACCCAGCCTCAAGTCACCCCTGGCAGGCACTCCTTGGGGCCAGGAAGGAGGAGGCCCTGAGGGTGGAATTTTAGGCGTCTCCAAACAGAATGTTTTCTGATGTGATTAAGTAGAGAAACGAGCAAACGCTGGAGTCACAGAGAGCTGGTGTGACTGAATCCCCACTGTCCCCTTGAAGGAGGGAGAGGGGAACAGAGCTGAGTTCGCAGTGCGATTCGATAATTCTGCCTCCTGTCCTGGAAGGGCTGAGTCTCGGTTTGGGGTGGACACGGAAGAGTTAAAAAGACGCAGCGTAAGGCCTCGGGGTCAGGGCAAGCTCAGCCTAGCCTAAGTTGGAGTTTTCTGTGCTACCCATGTGACTTCTCTGGGAACCTGAAAATCTTCCCAAATAAAAAAACTTAATTAGATTTAAAAAAAGAAAGAAAGAAAGAAATACAGTTCCTACCCTCCTGGAACTTACAATTTAGTAAGTGATGGACAGATACACATTCAGTAAATAATACCGATCTTCCCTGTCTCCCAAGCACGTGGGTAGGAGTATAGGAGTCCCCCTGAAGGGACCCGGGAACCCCCCAGAGGCCAGAGATGACCTGGTCCAACATCTTTAATCTGCAGGGAAAGCAAAAACTTTTGAGACTTGAAACACACGGCTCAATATTCATGTCTGTTTAAGTTTTAGAAGCTATGTAATTTACAGAGGGCTGGGCCCGCTCAGAAAACCCAAATCCCTTCCCCTCTAGGAGCCTGTTTCTCCATCCAATGGGAACTGCAGTCCCTGGCTAGGCTGCCTCCACAGGCAACAGGAACGCCTTGTCAACAAAGCAAAAAACTGCAAGTAGAAAAGACAGTCTCTTATACAAAGAGTTGGGTTTGTCAGGATGGCCTACAATGTCCTGTGATTTGTATTCAATTTTACTTGCAATGTAGACATAAACTTTATTTTTTGCCCCTCGGGAATTCCTACATCCACTCATTTTCATGCTAGAACATCACAAGGTTCGATTCAAGAGGCAGGGTGCAGGAAGCCACGGGTAGCGGTTAAAAGCCAAGGTTTGCCACTTAATTTAGCTGTGAGCCTTTGCGCTCTAGCCTCCAGGACTGTATCTGGAAAATGGAGGTCATAAATACAGGGCAGCTTTCAAGGTCAGATAAAATAATACATGCGATAAAATAATACCTAGTCCGTACAAGGCTAGACCACAGCGGACTCAGCAATGCTAGTTATTATTATTATTATTACAAAGAAGAAACTGATTCAAAACTCATTCACTAAGAGCCCCAGTGGCTACCTCAGCTTAGAGCTAAAGCAGTTAATCAGATTCTTCAGAAGATGTGTCTGGCCATTGGGACCCATGCAGTTCAAACTTTCATAATTGTTCCAGTGAAAATTAGCACCATGCTTCTGGGCGGGGTGACCGGGCATCACAATAAAGAAGCTCCCCATTGTCATGAACATTGAGTTTCTGCTGTTTCATGGTCTCTTCCCTCGATTTCTTTCTCACTAAGTGCATTTAAATCTCATCCCAGATGCCCGCGCACTGCCAGGAGAATGTGAGAAGATGTTGGCTTTTGCACTGCTAGTCTAATGCTGCTGCAACGTTAGGTTCCTCGGAGACTGGAGAAACTACCCCCAAGTTACACATGGGGCCCCAAGCACTTAAACAGCACAGGCACCTAATACGGGCCATTTATCTATCAAGCAAAATAATGGTCAACAGCGCCTGAGCCGCGGCTAGCCTCGGCCTGCCAAAACGCGCACAGGCACGCCTCCGGGTGATCCGGGTCCCAGGGACGGTCACGGAGTGCCAGTCTCCTGTCCTCCTGGCCCCCCGTTCCTTGGCTGTCAGTGAATTGCACCACCCGAGGCCCCTGTGCTGAGGTTGCCTTCAGAATGAACCTCAGGCCCAGGCTGCCTCCTGGACACTGAGCCAGGGTCAGGGAGGCCGGCCCTTCCGGGGCCTGGGGCTGGGGCAGCCGGCAGTGCCCATGGCGATCTGCTCTCCACCCTCCCGATCCTGTCTCCCACTCATCCTTCGCCTCTGAGCCCCCATGGCAGCTCCCGGGGGAGCTTTCTCTGACACCCAGGGCCAGGTCAGGCGTCCCTGGCCCTGCTTTCTTGCTTCATAGCATTGACCACAGTTTTGTTTTGTTTTGTTTTAGTTGAAAATTATTTTTTTTCTGGACTCTAAATGCAGAAATATCCAGACAATGGGATTGCTTTTAAAAAGTTAAAAAAAAGATTATATATATATACTTCTAGGTACATGCCCCCAAAAATTGAAAATAGAGATGTGGGCTGGTGTGGCTCAGTGGGTGGAGTGCCGGCCTGTGAACCAAAAGGTCACGGGTTTGATTCCCAGTCAGGGCACACGCCTGGGCTGCGGGCCAGGTCCCCAGCTGGGGGCGTGCAAGTGGCAATTTATCGATGTACCTCTTCCAAGTCAGTGTTTCTCTGCCTCTCTTTCTCTGTCCCTTCCCCTCTCTCTAAAGATAAATAAATAAAGTCTCTAAGAAAGTAGAGATGTGAACACATACTTACACATCCATGTTCACAGCAGCATTATTCACAATACTCAAACTCTGGAAGCAACCCAAAAGTCATTAACAGATGAATGGATAAACAAACTGGGCTGTAACTGTGCTATGTCTGTACAATGAAATACCACGTAGCCATAAAAAGGAAGTATCGATACATGCCACAACATTAGGTTAGTAAACGAAGACTGTCACGAAAGGTCCCACATTGTATAATTTGATTTACGTGAAATCACTAGAATAAGTAAATCCATGCAGACCAAGAGCTGACTGGAGGTTGCCAGAGCCTGGGGCGGAGGCAAGGGGAGAGAGCCTGTGTACTGGGCAGGGGGTTTCCTTAGGGGGCGAGGAAACTATTTCAGAACAAGACAGAGGTGGTGATTGCACATTGTGAATGTACTAAATGCCGCTGGAAGTGGTTAAGTTTATTTTATATGAATTTCATCTCAGTAAAAAATAGGAAAATAGCCCCTAAAGGAAAAGTTTCATGATATCGGACTCGGGATGATTTCTTAGATATAACACCAAAAGCACAAGTAACAAAAAAAGAAATAGGTAAGCTGGATTTCATCAAAGTTAAAAATGTTGTGCATCCCAAGAACACTATCAAAAGAAGGAAAAGGCACAAACATGAAATGAGAGAAAATGCTTGCAAATCACATATCTGGTAAGGGACTGATATTCAGAATATAAAAAGAACTCCTACAACTAACAATATCAAAAAAAAAGAAAAGAAAAGAAACCAACTCAATTTAAAAATGGACAGCCCTGGCCAGCGCGGCTCAGTTGGTTGGGCATCATATTGCAAAATGAAAGGTCATTGATTCAATACCTGGGTCAGGGCACATGCCTGGGAGGTGGGTTCGATCCCCAGTTGAGGTGCATGCAGGAGGCAACAAGTCAACGTTTCTCTCTCAAATCGATGTTTCTCTCCCTCTCATTCTCCCCCCCTTCCCCTCTCTCGAGAATCAATAAAAGAAAACTGTTTTTAATTTTAAAAAATCAACAGAGGACTTGAATAAACATTTCTTCAAAGATATACAAATGGCCAATAAACACATGAAAATATGCTCAACACCACTAATCATTAGGGAAATGAAAATCAAAACCACAATGAGATACCACTTCACATCCATTAGGATGGCTACTATATGAAAAAATAATAATAATAACAAGAGTTGGCAAACATGTTGAGAAATTGCTGCTGGAAGTACAAAGTAGTACATCCTTATAGAAAATGGTATGGTGATTCGTAAAAAGGTTAAACATAGAATTAACATACAATTATCAATTCAAATTTTAGATCTATACCCAAAAGAATTGAAAACAGGAACACAAACAGATCTGTACACCCATGTTCATAGCAACATTATTTACAGTCTCTAAAAGACGGAAGCAACCCTAGTGTCCATCAATGAATAGAGAAATGAATCAAATGTGGAATATACAATGGGATATTATTCAGCCTTAAAGAGGAAGAAAATCTGACACCTGCTGCAACATGGATAAACTGGAGGACACGAAGCTAAGCAAAATAAGTCAGGCACAAAAGGGCAAATACCGTACGAGTTCGCTTATAGGGGGCACCCACAGTAGACAAATTCACAGTCGGAAAGTGGAATGGCGGTTGCGGGGGGCTGCGGAGAGAACGAGGCGTTCTTATGCAGTGGGGGCCGGGGTTCAGTTGGGGGGGGGATGGAAAAAATCCTGAAGATGGTGGTGGCGGTGGCTGCACAATAAGGTAAATGCACTGGATGCCACTGTGCACTTACCGATGGTTACGGTGGTGACTTTTATATTATGTTTATTGTGTTACAGTGAAGGGAAAAGGAGTCCCCCGTTGCCACTGGCGATGTTACTCTGCGTTTACTCGCCTGCCAGCTCACTGTCTATTGCTCCATATGGAAGGGAAGCTGCACTGGAGGAGACGAAGTCTAAATTATTCACTGATGGATCTCACATGCTAGAATAGTGCCTGGTAAACAAAAAGCACTTGCTACAGTTTTAAATAAAAACGTTCTGTTTACTTGTTGGTGTGTCTGTTCACATGTGTATTTTCTGATTCCACTGGGCGTAACCTCCACAAACCAGGGACCTGGTTTGTTTGGTTCTGCTCTGGATCCACAGCACCTAACCAGCACCTGCCACCCGCCAAGGGCTCCGTGACTGTTCATCGAGCGAATAAAACACCATGTCCTCCTCAGGACATACAAGTTTGTCACTGAGACGTTCGGTGCTGCTGCAAAGTGCTGCGGGAAGTCCCCAGCTGGACAAAACGGCCGGCTGGCCATTTGGAGACCCCTGGAGACGGGGCCCTCCGGCTCGCTCCTCCACTTGCCCGGGGGACCCAGGGGACTGGCCTTCAGAGCCTGTGCTTGTTTAGAAAACAGGAGTGAGGAGCCCGGGCCTGCCCACCCCCTGGGGGTGTGAGAAGAATCAGATGGAATCACACATGCGAAAGGGCTTCACCAGGCTCGGCACAAATGGATATTTCACAACCTGCAGCACGTGTTTGGTGGGATGTGCCGAGACACAGGAGCACCAGGCAGACCTGCCTGGCAGCCGCCCCTGGGGACTGGGGGAAGCAGCTCCTTTCTTAAAGCAGGGCACATGTCACGTGTGGTGGGATTCCAGAGCAGGCGGCGGTACCCTGACCACCCCCGACGCGTACCTCAGACCTCGAGCTCAACATCCTCTCCAGGGTGAAATGGCTGCAAAGCTCCCAGGATGCCCTTCTCTCTGGGTCAATAGCCAGCACTTGGGGCAGCGCTAAACCATGGGGCTCAGCCAGCTGCACTACTGCGTTACAACGTCGACGACTCCTCAGGAACTCAATCTTTTTTACAACGCATCAGTTTGCCTGCCAACAAAGCGGGGGCCACCACCCCATCCCCAGCTTCACTCCAGGATGAAGGGAATCCGAGCAGAGGGTTTGGAAGGGTTAGTACTGGCCCCCAGCATCTGCGTTACATTGAGAACATACCCCTTGTTCAGCACCTCACAACAAATCCGCTGGGCCCATCCGTGGGTGGGCTCACCCAAATATTACTTGTGAAAAACCTAAACATGGATTGCAGATTCAATTGTGTTGTAGAACTTATTTAAGGTGGCTAGGAGGAGGCAACGAGAGGAGGGGAAGACATAAAAATGCCATCAAGATGTTAGGGCAGGGGCTGAAAAGCGGACCATGCAGAGCACACATGCCCGTACCTGTGGAGGCCCAGGGTTTGGAGGCCACAGGATGACGTTGCGCGAGCTGGGGTTCTGTGGCTGAAAGCAAAGGGGTCCTGCTGTTAGGACAAGCACAGTGAACGGTATCCCCCACAGGACCAGAGCGACCGTCTCGGCCGCGGCTATTCCCAGGCCTGACCTACTGGGTGTGCTCCCACCCTGCCCACGGCTGCAGGGGAGATCGAACAACAGCAGGAGAGGAATTTGCAGCCCCAGGTGCACAAAGAAGGCCAGAGCCAGGACGGGGCAGGCCTGTCCCTCATCCTTCGCCCTGGCGACATGGCGGGTCCTCAGTCTACACATGGAAGGTTCCCTCAGGCCTCATCTTTCCTTCCAGGAGTCCACTTGTAAGCAGCACACAAGTGCATCGTCACAGAGAAAGACCCTCAGAGAGGGGACGGGGCATGGGTGGGCAGGGGGAGTGAGGAGGCAGAGAAGCCAGTTGGCAGTGTTTGCCAGGATTCAGGTGTGAGGTGACAGGGTTGCGACCGTGGGGACAGGGAGGAGAAAACCTGCTAGAAAACAGTGACGTAATGAAGGCGAACTACATTTTTGTCTTTTGAGAACGTGTTTCCAGCGATATGGATGGGCAGTCATCAACCTGGGCCCATCTTTCCCTGGCAGGGGTGGGTGCATGACTCGGCCCGGCTCATTCTGTGCCCTGTATTCCAGGGTACAGCGACTGAACCCCGAGAAGGCGCACGCGTGACAATCTCAGACAGTCAAGATTCCGCAGAGGGGGCAGATGGGGAGGCGGGCCGGTCAACGGGAAGGAGCTTGGAATCCAGAGCTGCAGACAGGGCTGAGAGCGCCCCCCTGAGCACTAAGCACTGTGGAGGGAAGCGGAACAGGATCCAGAGGGGACAGGTCTCTGGTGTCATCTCTGGAACCTCTGGAGCCAGCGACTATTGCAGCTTGAGCCCACTGTGCACTCCTTAATTCTATGAGTCACGCAAGCCTTCTCTGCTTATGCTCATTGGAGACGGGCTCCTATTTCTCGCAAGCAAAAAGAAACAAGAAGTCCTATGTAAACAGAAATTCAGAAGTCTAAATCGTGAGGCCATCAATTACTTTATTAATTACGAAATCTATGAAGAGAATGGGAGTGGGTGGAGGCAGAGGCGAGCCCAGGTTTCTGTCGTGGAAGAGCGGGTGGGTCATGTGCCTAGGAGGAAAGGGTCAGGGAGGGAAGCCGAGCTCTGGTTTGGGGAACCTGGGGAGGCTGCGCATTATCCAGGTAGGGACACTCAGGGCAGTGGAAAGATGGCCTCGGGGCCCCAGCCCCATGGGGGGGCCCTGAGTCCTCAGCCAAACGTACTTGTGCTCATTCCACTTGCTTCTCAGTGGAAGGGAAGCTATGTTGTGATCCTGGATCGCCAAAGGCCACCCGCTAACACCCCCTCATCAGGCCTGGCTGAGGTGGGTGACGTGAAAACTTGGGGTGCCAGGAAACCGCCTCCTGTCTGCTCCAGGAGGGCAGGGAATCAGGAGGGAGGACAGGGGCGCAGCTTGGGGGGATAGGTGGAGTGCGGCGAGAGTCCTTAAACTTCCCAGCCTTCTCCCAATCGGCAAAGACTAAAACAGGCATTGCCGCAAGGACATAGTGAGATGGGTTCTCATGCCCGGATGAGAGACGTATGAATTAGCCTTGCCTTTGGAAAGGCATTTTGGCTGTGGGCATAGACAAAGATAAAGGTGTAGAAATAGAGGGAGAGATACAGATAGAGATGACAGTGAACAAGAGATACTTACGTTTCCTTTGACGCAACAATTCCATTCCTATGAGTCTATCCTAAATAAACCAGCCTTCAGTTCTGGGCAGCGCGATTTTAGTAAAGATAATGGAGAGGAAAAATGTAAGCTACTTGATATTTGTCTGTGTTCAGGCAGAAGTCCATTTAGGTTAGAGAAGTCCATCCCCTACCCCCAGGGGTTCTCCTGAAGCAGGTAAGACAAACGTTCCTCCATTCTAGGGTGTCTTAAGTTCAGTGCCTTTGACATTTGGGGGTGGATAATTCTTTGTGGTGGGGCTGTTCTGTGCAGTGAGAACATTTGACAGCATTTCTACTCGGTATGAGTAACATCTCCACTCTGGAGCTATGACACCAAAAATGTCTTTGGACATTGCCAAATGTTCCCTGGGGGGCAGGGGGCCAAATCAGCTCCAGTGAGAAGCAGTGCGGTGTCCTGTTTGTAGCCACCGGTGGGGCCTGCAGGGGGTTTGAGCCCTAAATAGATCGAGGAGACCTTAGGGAAGGGGCTGAACGCGAGTTGCTTGGCTTGGTGGTGAGCGGGACTAACGGCCAGAATCGAAGCCCGGAGCCCTGTGCTGTGTCTGCGCCTGGAGGGCCCCAGCCGGTGGCAGTGCCCTGCTCCGCCCTCAGATCCAAGATGAATGTTCTTTCATGGCGAGGTCACAAAGAGTCAAGACAGGAACCAAACCCAGCCGGCAGGAACTTTTTTTTTTCTCCCCCACAGAATATTGAAAAATAATTGAAATTAGTTGCCAACATTTAAAAAATTGTAAGATTTCTTTACACAATCTCTTCTAGAAAATAGAAGAGAATTTCCCATTTTGCAACTTGTATCACCCTGATACTAAAACCAGACTGAAAAAGGAAAAAAAAAACTCTTAAAGAGCAATATTTCTCATGAATTTAAATATAAAAATTCTCAATAAAATGTTACCAAATCAAATATAACAATGTTTAAAAATAGTTATACACCACAACCAAGTGAGATTTATTTCAAGTATGCCCGGCTGAATCAATATTCAGAAATCAATCAGTGCGACCTAACACATCAACAGGCCAGAAGCCTGTTCATAAGATGATGATCATAAGATGCCATCAATGGATATAGAAAAAGCATTTGAAAATACCCAATACCTAATTACAATAAAAATCCTCAGCAAACTAGGACTGGCAGGGAATTTCCTTAACTTGATAAAGAGAATTTATAAGAAACCTACAGCCAATATCTAACAGTGAAAGACTGAATTCTTTCCCCTCAAGAGAGGGAACAAGGCAAGGATATCCACTCCGACTATTCTCAGTTAACATGGTTTTGGCATTCTTAGCCACTGCAATTAGGCAAGAAAAAGAAATAAAAGGCATAAAGAATTAAAAAGAAGAAATACAACTCTTCCTATTGGTGAATACCATAATTGTCTACATAGAAAATCACAAGAAATCTAGAAAAAAAACCTTTTAGCACTAATAAGTGAGTTTGACGAAGTCACAGGATACAAGCTTAACATACAAAAATCAACACACTAACAATGAAGATGTGGAAACCAACACTAAAATCATAATACCATTTACAATCACTGCAGAGAAAAGAAAATACATAGGCATAAACTTAAAATATAAGCAGAATTGGTATGCTGAAAATTATGAAATGATGATGAAATAAGTCAAAGAAGACCTAAATAAATGGACTGGAAGGCCAAACATTGTAAAGATGTCAATTCTCCCCAAACTGATCTATAGGTTTAATATAATTTCTATCAAGACATCAGCAAAGAATTTTGTAGACACAGACGGGCTTTTCCTAAAATTTATATGGACAGCCATACGTCCTAGAATAGCTAAGGCCATTTTGGAAAATAATAAGGTGGAAGGGATCATGCAACCTGATTTCAAGACTTACTCCAAGAATCAAGGCTGCATGGGATCAATAGAAGGACACACACATAGATCAGTGAAATAAAGGAGAACCCAGAAATAGACCCACACAAATATAACCAACTAATTTTTTGATGAAGGTACAAAAGCAGTTCAATGGAGGAAGGAGAGTATTTTCAACAGAGAAATGTGACTGTTTTCACCATGTGGTACTTGAGAGATGGACATGCATAGGCAAAACAAAAACACAAAAAAACGAATCTCAACCTAGGTCTCACACCTTACACAAAAATTAACTCAAAATGGATTATGGATTTAAATATAAAATGTAAAACTATGACAGTTTTAGAAAAAAATAAGAAAAAATTTCAGGACATAAGGCTAGACAATTCTTAGGTGTGAAACGAAAAGCACTATCCATAAAAGGAAAAACTGACAAACTAGTGCACCTCATAAAAACTTTGGTTCGGTAAAAGTAAAAGACAAGCAAGGTTGGGAGAAAATATTTGCAAACCACAATCAACTAAGGATTTGCAAACCACAATCAACTAAGGTGTGAAACGAAAAGCACTATCCATAAAAGGAAAAACTGACAAACTAGTGCACCTCATAAAAACTTTGGTTCGGTAAAAGTAAAAGACAAGCAAGGTTGGGAGAAAATATTTGCAAACCACAATCAACTATATAAAGAACTCTCAGAACTCAATGGTAAAAAAAATAGGCAGTTAGAAAATGGGCAAAAACATGAAGAGATATTTCACCAAAGAGAATATACAGATGGCAATAAGCACATTAAAGATGTTCAACATCATCACTTAGCAGGGAAATGCAAATTAAAACCACACATGATGAGCGATCACAGCACACATATCAGAATGGCAACACCAAATGCTGACAGCCCCAAATGATGGCAGAGAAACTGGGTCACTCACACACTGGTGGGATGGAAAAGGGTACAGCGATTCTAGAAAAACAGTTTGGCAGTTCCTTATAAAATGAAACATGCAACTACCATATGACCCAGCAATTGCACTCTTGGGCATTTAACTTGGAGAAATGAAAACATATGTTTTACACACAAAAAAAGCCCTGTATACAAATTTTCATTGCAGCTTTATTTGTAATAGCCCCCAACTGGAAATAACCCAGATGTCCTTTGACAAGTGAATGCTTCGCCCAGATGCCGCCCCTCTGTGCCATGAATACGACTCAGCAGTAAAAAGGGACAAAGCATGGACACAGGCTACGACCTGGATGGATTCGAGGACATTACGCTGAGTGAGAACAGCCAATGCCCCAGGGTCCAATACCAGGCGATCCTGTCCGTCTCTGTAACATTCTTAGAATGTTAAAACTGTAGAGATAGAGACCAAATGAGAGGTTGCCGGGGATTAGAAATGGGGTATAAGAGGGAGGTGGATGTGGCTGTAGGGGCAACAGGGGGTCCCTTCTGATGATGGAAGTGTTGCACGTGTTCACTGTATCTCTGTCAGTATTTGGGTTGTGATACTATCGTTTTATAAGATGTAACTCTTTGGTGTTACTAGGTAAAGGGCAAAACAAAAGGAGGGAAAGGGTACATGAGATTTCTCTGTATTATTTCTTATAAGAGCATGTACATCTATTATCTCAAATTTGAAAGTTTAATTATAAAAACAAAGAGTTCATAGAAAAAAATGTGGGTTTCTGAATTCCCTTGAAGGCCTGGGAAGATCTTGTAGCAGCGGGCATACATCCCCATGTGACCCCCATCAGCTGGGGAGGGCGGAAGCTGTCTCCTGTAGACAACAGGATAGGAACCCTCCTTTTTGCCACAGTTCTCACCTCTCCCTATTGTCTCACACCCAGGCATTTCACACAATTACTGTTCTTTGTCTGCCCCTAAAGCCTGGGGAGTTTGTCCTGTTCTTTTAATGATTCTTGTTTTCCTGCTTAAGGAAAGAAGTTTGTATGGAAGGCAAAGGCAGAGGGAAAACAAATTGAGCCATGCTGGCTCTTACCTCCAGTTTTCTCATTTGAAGAACTCAATACCATTCAGCCAAAATTTCTACGGTGTGTGAGATAAATGGGGGAGGTGCCTCCTTGAGTCTCTTCACTAGGGCATTGGATTAGAAATTTCAAACTTAAGCCCTGACATGTGGCTCAGTTGGCTGGGCATCGTTCCGCAAAGCAAAGGGTTGCAGGTTCAACTCCTGGTCAGGGCACATACCTGGGTTGCAGGTTTGGTCCCCAGTCGGGGTCCAGGTGGGGCAATACAAGAGATAACCAATTGATGTTACATTGATATTTCTCTCCCTTTCTTTCTCCCTTCCTCTCTCTCTAAAAATAAATAAATAATATCTTTTAAAAAAATTCAAACCTAAAATGGAGAACTACAAAATCTGACTATACGTTAATATCCCTGTCATCTGCACAGTTAAGCAGTTAGAGTCCATTCCTCAATGGTGAGCACCTCGTCTAACCTGGAAACAAGAGTTCACATTTAATCTGCTCAACACTGATAGATTTAAAAATCACTTTCTAAGGGCCGTAACTCAGTTTTGGGGAGGAGTGTGCAAAAAGTTTTATTTTAGCCTCTCTGCCACATCTCTGTAAGTTGATGGGGGACGGGGCGAGCACTGCGACTCAGTCCGGGAAAAATGTGCCAAACTCTCATTATATCAACTTTAAAAGCACAGCATAAAAAGAGAAACTAGTTCTAATGGCTTACAAAATTAGGGCTAGCCTTAAAACAGGAATTCTGAGAATGAAGTGAAAAATGCCTACACAGATCCGTACACTATGACCACATGTGTCTAGACACAGTCTGTGTTTTGGCTTGCTCCTTCCTGGGCAGAGGGAAGATGCTGGAAAGAAAAGCCTGGTTAAGGGCAGTTGAGAGCGCCCCGTAGACTAAGGGAGACGGCGCCCCCTGACACCCACCTGGTTATCCGTGGTGCTGTTCTCATTGCCCATGGCGATGCGCGGTGCCCAGCGTCCCTTGGGATTTTATCAGAGGCGACTGGAAAAAAACAAAAGGACATTGACATCAGTAAAACCGAAGAAGACACGAGGCTTTTTCTGTCGGCTTGCTTGCCTCCCCAAACTCAAAAGCCAGATGATGGGAAATGTTTATCTCTGCAGTCACATCGTGGAAAATTGCTTTTGAAGGGTTTTCTTTTGTGACATGCCACCCAGCCTTCTCTCCCAGCGCAGGCTGGCGTTTGCAATCCCCACCCCGGGGTTGGCAGGCACTTCTGAAAAACGAGTTTGTTACCGCGCCTCTGAGTTTATGCCAGTGCACACAGATACATACGTACACAAACAGAGTGACAAAGGGGCCCGTTTGCCACAGGGAGCGCGAGGAGTGCCGCCACGGAATGTTTTCTGTTTCTAATTGTGTGCAGTTTGGCAGCCTGGAGCATGGCTGGGTTCCTGCTGTCGGTGACAGCCGAGCTCGGTGTCGAGCATTAGGAGGCGTGAAACCCACTTCTCTTCAACAACATATGGTTTTTATATTTTTTACTCTAAACACTTGTTTCATCAAGTCAGTTTCACTTCTGCACATATTTTTATGGAGGCAGAACGGTTTTCTTGCTGAGGAACGTGAGTCTTTGGGGCCAGATGAGAAAGAAGTTGTCATGTCAGAGGGAGAGCCGCCGGGACGACTAGAGTCATTTCATCGGGCGCACTCAGTGACAGTGTTTATTAATCATCCTCGTAATGAGGGTGCTTCCTGCAGCTCACAGAGGGAGGCAGGGCATCTCCTGACGGGACCCAGCCCACTTGTGTGTGACCCCAGGACATAGGCTGGCCATCGCTTGCTAGGGGAGAGACGACAAAGTTACAGAAAACTTAAAAGATCATAGACTTTTAGACCTTAGAGGCTAGCAGTCTAATCCAGTAAGGAAGCAGGCTGGAGAAGGCAAGGGGCCGGCCTGTTCTAGGGGGCCGAAGCTGACAGGGAACGCTGCCTCTTTCCTTCTCATTCAAGGTTCCTTCCTCGGCAGGAGGGCTGACATCAACCTGCTGCCTCAGAAAACTTCACTGATTGACTGACAACAAAATCTGCCCATTGATTTGCTCATCCACTGAACGTGGCTCCAGGAGCTACCACATGCTCTATCTACTGTACGGTCACTGGAAGATAAAATTCAAGTGTTTTAGGCAGCTCAATTAAAATGCCCCCAAGCTAAGAAAACTGGGAAGGAGGTCACCATAGTGATCACTTCTCTCATTCTTAACCTTGTCACCAAAAGGATACAGCTCTTTAATCCTTTTCTTGTCGTTTTCTGTTTATAAGATGGACCCTCCAAAATTATATGCTCCCCTATAGAATGTAAAAATACTCATTTCTTTAAAATTGATCACTTCAGTTTATATTTTTTAATGTTCATTTGGGAAATGATGCCTCCCTAGCAAATAATGTTGTGTTACAATACTGGGTCCTTCTCAATGGTTGTGACTTCCTTGTACCAAAACCAGCCTAAACCACATGCAGCTGGAATTTCACGTGGGTCAATGCAATATTAATTTTTGAAACTCCTTCACCAAGTTAAATTTAGTAACTTTATTGAAAATTAGAACATCTGAACTAGCTTTTTAAAGGGGTGGAGAGACTAAAGAAAACAGCAAAACTACGTCTGTGTCACGTACATTTCGTAACTGCAAAGGTAAGGCCCAGCTGGGCCTGGATCTCTTTCCTGCGACCTCCAGAACTGCCACCCCCTCAGGCTGTCAGGGAGCAGAGGACGGCTCTGCCAGCTACTTACATTCAGGGAAGGTCTGGGACTTTGGCAAGTCGCTTTTCAAGCAGTGGGACTTTCTCTTCCTCCATTCAGAAGCCAGCGAGGTCTAAGCGGAGGCAGTGACCCACCTCAGCCAGCTGGGCAAACAGCCTGTCTCCGCCCCCGACACCGACAGCAGCCAGCTGCGCTTCATACCTGGGCAGCGGCCGGCCGTGCCCGGCCACCGTGACTGCACAAGCAGGCCGTCCGATTAGCCCGGGCCGCTGGGTCTGGCGCCCGTCACACGCAGGGTTTCCCCCGTTGCTGATCGAGTGGGGCTCCTTTCAGAAAACCCTGGCCCAGGCTAACACTGGCTCTGTGACCTGATTGGCCACACCCAAGGGAGCAGGACAGTCCTGCACCAGGAGCAGAGTGCGATGGAGCGGGGGGCGGGGGGTGGGGCGGGGAACGACAAGCCTTTCTTTCTAGAACGGCGTAAAATGCTCAAAGGGCTTCTGTTGCACCTGGGAAAATTTGCTGTAAATAATGTGGAGAGACAAAGAAAACCTGTGGAAGGAAGATGACGCCAGCAGTCTGGCACCTGCTTATGGTGCAGGGTGTGCAGAATGTACTTACCGGGGCGTGGCTTGAGTTTCAACAGGTGAAGTCATAAAAGCAGCAGGCTGGCCGGATGGCTGCGTCAGACCTGCCCACCCAGGCTGGAGGAGGCCGGGGGCGCGGGGGTGGGACCAAGGGCAGGGTCCAGAGACCCTTTTGCCCAGCAGGCTCCAACCTCCTGGGATTCCTGCAGTTAATTACCAATCAGCCACTCCTTGGCATGAGTGAAGCCAGTTTTGTTTGGTTTAGTAGTGGTGGAGACTTTCATTCAAATGAAAGCTTGTGCAGAAGCCCCTTACCCCTGCCACGAGGTACGAGGTACGACCCTTCTGCGGAAATAAGTCAGCATTTCATCAAGGGCTCAGAGCAGTGTCAGGAGTTCCCTGGTGGGGAAAGCTGGATGTGGGGAGGGGGACTCAGTGCCCCATTTCTGGGTCAGACAGAGCAGAAGTGTGTATGTTTCAATAGGTGAACAGATAGCAAATTGTGGTCTAACCACGCAATGGAATACTATGCAGCTCTAAAAAGGAATGAAGCTCTGACACATGCTACAACTCCAAGAAACCTCAAGAATATTATGCTGAGGGAATCCACTGGTCATATATTGTGTGATTTCATTGATAGGAAATGATCAGAACAGGTAAATCCAGAGAGACAGAATCCAGGTTGACGGTTGCCAAGGGCCAGGCAATGGGGAGTAACTTCTTGATGGGCTCGGCCTTTGATTTTGGCATGATGAAGTGTTCTGGAACTAGACAGAGGTGGTAGCTGTGCAACATTGTGAATTTTTAAAATGCCCCTGAATTGCTCACTTTAAAATAGTTAATTTTATGTTATGTGAATTTCATCTCAATTTTTATAAGCGTGTAATTTTCATACCCTGGGGTTCTGCATAAGATATTTTTTGGGGGGGAGAATTCCACTACTGGGTAAAAAAAGTTTGAAAACTGTTGCTTTGCATTTGTTATCACTAGGTTTCTGTACAATTAAGGATTAGAGGCATGGGAAACAAGAACATTTGCTTGCCCCCCGCTCCCTCAAATCACAGGAGGATTTTCCTAAAGAAGAGAATCTTTTTAAGCAAAGTATTTTGGATAAGCCAACTGGGAATGAAAAGAGGTTCCAGGCCAGTCTGCAACAGATGGGCGAACATTGCAAAATCCCTGACAAAAAGAAGGGGAGGCCCTGGCTGGCGTGGCTCAGTGGATTGAGTGCCAGCCTCCGAGCCAAAGGATCGCTGGTTTGATTCCTAATCAGGGCACAATCCTGGGTTGTGGGCCAAGTCCCCAGTAGGGGGCACGTGAGAGGCAACCATACATTGATGTTTCTCTTCCTCTCTTTCTCCTTCCCTTCCCCTCTCTCTAAAAAGACATAGATAAAATCTTTAAAAAAAAAAACAGAAGAAGGGGAGAATTGGGAGCGGAGAAGAGGGGAAAGAGGGAGGATGGCCAACTGAAAGGCGGGTAATGTTCAATGTTCAATGTTCGGGTGTGGACCTTTGGCAACGTGAATTTCCTCCATGAACCACCCTCCCAGCCAACTCTGGAGCCACACAGCATCCCTGTTACTGCCTTCACTGGCCCCTGGACCACCAAGACCATGGCTGCAGGATGCTGGGCATCAGCTGCCAACACCCATCCCATTGCTGCTGTCCTGGCCGCCACTGACCACCAGAGAGGTGGCCACTTCCACTAAGGGAAGGAGCAAAGGAACGCTCAGACTTCGCAGCTTCCATCGCAGGACTCGGGGGCGGGGGCCGGGGGTAAGTACAGCCCAAACCCTGCATGTGATGAACACACAATGCTGCCACCTGGGAAGATTTTTGTAGAGTTCAGAGGTAATTCACGGCCCCTCTCTCTGTTGTCCATTCAATTCTACTTTAGAGCATGGGTTTTCTAGCTCTTGCAACTAAAGCTGGCTTGGAAGGCTCCAGCTTATGGGACACTCCCCACCCCACCCCACCCCCGCCCCCCACGTCATTGATCTGGGAAAAGGGTAGCAGGTCCAGGTCTGGCGCAAGTGATTAACCATCGTGGCTGAGGCAAACACAGCAGGCCTGGGGAGCCAGAGGGGTGCCTGGAGGCGGGGCCCAGGACCTAGTCTGAAGAAGGAGGGCGTGGAGGCCTGGGGACCAGCACTGCAGTTGAACGGTGCAGAAGCTGCACTTGTGGGGAGTGGGGCTCAGAACCCAGGTCCTGTCGACCGGGCGGGGCTGATGCCTCATTTTATAGGCTGTGCATAGGGTGGGGAGTGTGGGGAGCTGGGGAATCAGAGGCAAGATCACACAGGCCCTGTGTCTGCCTTGATAACACAGAGGTTCAGAGAGATTTCGCAAGCAACCTCCCGCCGACCTACGAGAAGAGCCTCCTGAGGGTCGTTGCTGCATCAGTCACACCCAGTTTTCCATTCGGGGTTATTAATTCTCTATTTAAAAAAATGTTTTTGTATGTGATGGAAACGTATCTGTTTTACATATTTAATAACTTTTGATTTTTCTCCTGCCTTGAATAATTTAAATCATGGGTGTGGAGGACTCTTGGAGATCGTCTTCCCTGATCACCCCTTTTACAGATGAGGAAGTGGAGGCCTAGAGGGTGGAAATGGCTTACGCCTCATCTCACAATGAGCAAGGTCCGCTTCCAACAGGCAGGCCTACCCTGACCGGGCCTCTGTAGGC